CACACCCGCAGCGCCCTCCTCACCTCCCCTCCCCACTGCTCAGCCATGCGCCAGCTGTCTCCTCTCCCCTCTGACGCTCCCAGCAGCAAAACGGCAGGTCCTGAGTTAGGAAAATCTTTAGGGTTTTGTCACAGCCTTGTCATTAGGAAATGAGGTGGTGTCATTGCAGGGAGAGGATAATGCCATGTAATTACCACAGACGCTCTCTGATCAGCCTCCGAGCAGATCTCAGGGGCGAGGTGGGGATGGGGGAGTTGCGAAGGAAGGCGCAGCCTTCTCTGCTGCTCTGCTGCACGAGTCCCCTGCTCCGCCCCAGACAAGAGCGCCTGGTGTGTGGGTGTGCGCGTGTGTATGTGTGTATGCAAGCACACGCACGATGCACGCACGTACTCATGCTCAGTCTGTCCCTCTTGCTCACGGCGATAGCTCTAACCTTTGCTGCCTTCCTGAATGGCAGCTACAAGGGAGTCAGAGCCCCGGGGCTGAGAGGCACGCTGCTCGAAGCACGGCTCTGACCCAACATCATGCTATGGCTGGCGCCTCCCCAGGAGCAGACACTCATTCCAGCTTCCCGACTCAAGGACGGAAAAGAAAAGGCTTTTCTTGGAGGCTCATCCCCCCCACAAAGCTTGTCCGGACAGCGAGCAATCTCCAGCAGGGCTGGCAGGACCCCAGCCAACCTATTCCCTCCCCTCTTGCAGCCACTGCTGGAGAGATGCTTTGCAAGAGCTACCAGCTCCTGGCAAAGACACAGCCTGTTCACCCAGCTCCTCTAATCGCCCGCTGGGACACCCCGTCAGACTGCAAGGCTCTGCCTTCTGCTCCAGGCCAAAGATGCAAAGTGGTGTGGTTCGGTTTTGTTTGAAGCGAGTCACGGAGAGGAGCAGATGCGGTCGCCTCTGAGGCCCCACAGCCGGCACCCCCGGGGCCAGGGCACGGCCGTCCCCTACTGCGCACTTAGTCCAGCCTAGTTTGAAGTCTTCTGACGTGCTGAGGCTCGTACCAGAACTATTTTTTTCAGCGCTCGAATTTGGTGGAAATAAAATCTCACCGATTCTTTCTCTCTCTCTCTGCACTAATGCTGCTCTGGGCCTTGTCCCTGGGGGCCAGAGAAGCAGATCTGCTGCCGTGGGAGCGAGGGTTGTACTCCGGGAACTGTCTCTTGGGGAGAAAGCTGCCTCCGTGACCTGCCAGCGCAGCCCTCACTCCGAGCCTCTGATACGCTTGCATTTCCATACGAGACGCGAGAACGTTCTGCTCTGCTTGACAGCAGCGCCAGCGCGGCCCGGCTTCCACCCAGATACGGCTCGCTTTTGATCTCTAGCGTGCGCGCCGTGTGCGGTGGGGAGGGGGAAGGGAAGGTTACTGCGTCGCTGCTGGAAGGGCTTCCAGCCCTACAGGTGTTTTTTCACTCAGTCAGAGCGAGGGAGTGATTTACTCTGTTCTCCCGGCCTTGTCAGATGCAGCCGCCGCAGCTCCAGATATGCCACGGGCCCGGGGTCATCTCTCCTCTTCAAGCGCTGGGTTCAGAGACAATGCTGTCATGCCCGGACTGACAGCCGCGTCCCGGACTGGCGCGTGACATGACGGGATAAGGGTTTTAGACAGTGCCGTGGCAAAGAAGCAGCAAGCAAAGGCCGGAGAGAACGGCAGGGACCTCCAGGGTTTACAATGAAGGCGTTGTTCCCAGTTCCCACCCCGCTCCTACCACCTTTCGGCTCAGGCACCATGAGGCACCAAGCTGAGGTGGGAAGGGAAAACTGAAGCCAAGTTCTGCCTCCCTCCACGGTCCCGCTGCTCTTGGCCAGGCTGCTTTCCATGCTCCTGCACTGCTGGATGGGGAGGCTGCGGGGAAAGCCTTGGTCCCATTGCTAGACAGGGACACTGGGGGAAGGGGTTGCAGGAGCTGCTGCCATAAGGGTAAAGGATGGCCTGGTCTGGAGCACAATGTCAACCCAGTGCTTCATCACCCATCTTTCCTCTATGCGTGTGGAAAAGGAGTTTCCCCAGACCATGCCCACTATTAACTCCTTATCCCTGTGTTTTCAGTGAGTTCTGGGCTTTAGCACAGCTCCACCGGACAACAGGGTTATACACCATGGGCAGTAGCAGGGGCTCCCAAATGGTGACCCAGTGACCCTCAGTGGCTCACAAGACACTCACTGATGAGTGATCACGTAGTATTGATCTTGGTTTTTATTCCCAGCTACTCCATCACATTAAAGACAGCTGGACATATACCGAACCCTCCCCTCATATTGCCTTTCCACATCAGGAACTGATCCGACAGCCCCAGGGAACATGCATGGGGTAGAAAGGGTCCACAAGAAATTTTCCCCACTGAGACCTATGCTTTTTCAACAAAGTTACAGACATGAGGATCCCTGCACTAGCTCCTCCGAGGTACTCAGCACCACAGAATACTGTAAGCACTTTGGGGCCGGGATCACCTGTCTGGCCTGCTTGTATAGCACTTAGCACGTAGAGACGGAGGTCAGGACTCAGGTCTCTCTGTGCTACCATGGCGCATGAAAATATCATCACTGAGGTCAGATCTCAGCAAGATCCAAAGAGCAAAGCATTTCTGTGGACAATGAGCACATCTGAATTGCATTAGGGGGAATGAAAAGCTATAGGAGGAGACAGACCTCCCATCAGTGAAGCAGAGGTTGGGGATCAATGTCCCCTGGGTAGGGCCTGGCTATTACTGGGTTTTTAAGGCTTCTGGGAAGCAGCCGGTACTAGTAATCACCAAAGAAAAAACACAGGAGTATACGGAGCCCTGATCTGATCTACTCCAATGACTCGGATGTTGTGCCTGCCCCCCATTAGTACAATTTAAGAGCACAGATTGCCAGGCCAGAGGGGGAAAGTGCCCCAAAGACCTGATGCACCGCTCGGCCCTGATTCTGCTTATCTAGGGAACCAAGCTGCTCAGTTGCAACTAGCACCATCCTGACCCCAGTAGGGAAAGGCCCTTAAATAGTGACATAGGGAGGAGAGGAACCCATAAATAGCCTCACAGATTACACAACAGAAAGAGAGAGAGCACGGGCACAGACTGCCTTACAGGCCAGGGAGGCTTTCTGAGAAAGGAAAGTGTGGGAGTAGACAATGAAAGTGTGGCGGAGCTGCCTCGGCTCAGTGTTTCTGGGGAACCCCTGGTTGAATGATTCAGGGAGAAACCCCAACCTAATGAGTCAGGCTCAGGAAGCAGGATTTAGACTGGGGCAGCCTCGTGAGTGGGTGGGAATGGGCTGCAAAAGCCCAGGGTTGCTTCTGATCTGAGTCTCATTTCACCAAAGTTAGGAGGGGAGACGGTTCTCACCCATCTCTTGGAGATGTGAGCATCCCCCCCAATCAGGGCAAACGCACCAGTCTGCAGAACCAGGTCCTTCACTGGGCTGGTGAGTGGAAGTCAGAGATCTGAAAGCAACAGGCTGGCCTCCGATTGCCAACTAGTTTAGCTGCTTCTCAGCAAGACCTCACAGACTGCTAACACCTTGATTCGTTTTCAAAGCATGCAATGGCTAAGGACTGCCCAGGACACGGACTTGGCGAAGGGGGCTGGTGGGTAGCGTGTGCACTGACTGCTGTCAGGGAGCCCACTACAGACTGGTGTTTCATGGATGAATGCGGAAACCCAACGTCTATTGCAGCACCCAAAGAGGCATTCCTACCAGGCCTACAGATGCACATCTGATGATAACACTAGGAGGAAGACAGGAAGCAGACACATGAATAAGCAACAGAAAGCAGTTCAGGGCAGCTGTATGGTGCCAGGTAGCCATAGCACCCAGCAGGAATTGCTGCTGGAATATGCATATGCTTCTAGGCTGGGATATAGAGATAAGAGGCAAGAAAGGGCCACATAAAGGGAAATTACTTAGAACAAGTGTACGTTACTAGGTACTGTGAGCAGCTATCAGATACCATTAGCACCCATTATACAAGATATTGTTAGCATCCAACATCCTTCTGGAATACTAATGCTCTTCTGATTGTCATTTTGGGGCTGGAAGTCAGGAAGGAGGGGGGCAGCTAAAATAATATGATTTCAAATCAGCGGGCAGTGCAAGCACCACTGTGAGGCACTGCACCAACTACTCTTATAGGAAACGGCAAATGTTCCAGGATAAACTACTGCGTACAGGAGTCTCCATCGAGCCGCTCTGCTTTGGTCGTGGGAGCGTACCGCTTTAAGAATCTCAGCTGCTGGACTCCAAAGGCTGTGAAACTAGACCTGGCTCCCAGGCAGCTTGTCTGCTGCTGCTTTTTTTTTTTTAATAGCCAGAAGAGCGCAGGTTAAGCAATAATGATCGAGGTGGGCATTACTGACAGCTAATTAGTTTGAACTTAACAACAAAGCCTCTAACTGAACGGCCTGCAAAACCTCATTTAAGCAAACTCGAGACGAACTCATTAACTGCAGGCTCCATTACCCACTCCACTCCGCCGGCCGTAAAGAAAGTTTTAAAATTACGTTTATGGGAGCGAGACATAAAAACAAATCAAGGGATTAAAAAAAAAAAAATCCCTAAAAAGGAGAGACCTTCTTTAGATTCTCCTCTCTGTATGAACAGCCTCAGACATGCAGCAGGAACCACCAGACAAGGCTTATTATTCTCACTATTAGGCAATTTTTTTAATTAAAAAAAGGAGCAGATGCCAACATAATAATCATGTCCATGTTTTGTCTTAAATACCCAAACCAAGACGCTCCGCCTGGAATGGAAACTCCCCAAAAATCCGCCCCAAGAGCCGCCGGCTTGGTTTTTAGACTGTGCAATAATTATTCTAATTAAGGAGGTAATTCCCCCCCTCCCACACACACTCGCATACATGCTCTGACCTTCCGTGCACTGCGATAAAGAGAGCATTGGTCCCCTGCCTCAGCCCCGCACTCTCAGCATCTTGCCTCCCTCATTAATTTCAATTAAGTTCCGTTGTTAAGAAAGGGGAAAAAAGGGAAGTGTAGGGGGAAGAAAAGCAGCACTTACCCTTCGGGGACTCGCTTCGGGCTTTCTTGCTTTCTAAAGGACACTCACTGCTGCTGTTGGGAGAACATACTCTTCTCTTGCCTAAAATCTCATCTAGAAGAGAGAGAGACATGAGAAACCTGAGTGTTAGATAATGCTTCACTTCGTTCCCTTCCACACAATCAATGCAAGACTTTTGCATTTTGCTTCCCACACACACACACACACACACACGCACACACATACGCACACCCCCGAGTCAGGTTACGGGTGGAAGGGGGGGAAGGACTGGGAAAAACAGAGGGGAAAAAAAAAAAGAAAGTAAGAAAAATCCTCATCTGGAGAGCCCAGATCTGCTTCTCTAGTCATGCAGTCCGAAGGGATGTAATGACTGTTCACACAGTGATCAATGCAATGATTTCTAGCTGTAAATTCTGAATCTAGTTTATTTCCTTACTGAGTTTCATCGTTTGTTCTGCTGCCTTTTCTCCCCCTTGTGTTTCCACTCCTTTCATGCCCTGATGCAGAGCAACTGCGGGGGAGAAGAGGGGAGAAAACACCCCCCCCCACCCGACTCTGAATCTTCCTACCACAGTCTGTCTCTCTTTCTTTCTCTCTCTCTCTCCCTCTCTCTCTCCTGTTAAAAACCTCAAGGTCCTTAGCAATCTTCTCCCTCTAGATTGTACGGAAATGCTCAAGCCTTTTGCATTAGTGCAGCCTTACGAGCCAACACAAAATATCTAATATACAATTACAGCGTCCCCTGAACAGATTTAAAATCAATATCCTCCCATAATAATGCTGGGGAAACTGAAAGCATGATGCTGCATATGGGCAGGAAGGAAGAGACTGTTTGTCACTGCAAACATCAAATTCTCATCTATCAAGGGCTTGTTAAAGATGCAGCATCTTAAAAAAAAAAAAAAAAAAACCTTGAAAACAAGTACCATATTTGAGTGAGTATATGTTGCACCTGTCTACGAGTCAACCTGCATGAACAGCATCTTGTTTGCAATGGTTAAGAAATGTTACAATTCAAACCAATGCTGTTTTATCCCAACAAACAAATGATTCCCATTCTACACGACACTTTGAACCAAGCCGCTGTCCTTAACACTAACAGCCACTCTGTATTCCTTTGAGTTCAGCTAGCTAAATTCAGTTGCACTGACCTGGCGCTGTGCTGACCAAGAGACCCAGGGTAAAGAGCTGCAGCTGACACAGCTGGGAGCTGGGAACAGACAGTTAACATGTAGAGGGCAGAACCTGGCAGTGCCCTTTCCAAAAAGGCATTGGAAATGCCTTTGTCCAGTAAGTGATATTAGAACTGCAAAGTTGTAAGTGGCATTTCAAGGTTTCAGAGCACACGGTCTGCCTATGACCTTATCTCGCCATGACCCCCTCACCTGGGCTGTTACCACGGCTGGGCCTCGGAGAGGACTGCAAAGGTCTGCAGCCACCCACAAGTGAAAAGCAAGCGGAATGCAAAAGGAAAAAAAAAGGGAATGATTTGAAAAATAGACGGGCCAGGCTGGAGGCAGAGTCAAATCCTCAAAGCATTTCACATTCGGACAGGCTTGGGGAGGAAGGTGGGGGTAATCTGAACTTTGCAGAAGGAGAAATCAAGGCGGGACAAGTCAGTGTCCTACCTGAAGTCACTAAAGTGCCAGCCCCCCAGCCTGTGCTAAGGTCGCCTGTCCCTCCCCTGGGAGCTCCTCCTTCTCCAGGCTGGTTTTCCTGGAGAGGCTAGCCTGGCACTGCAAACCCAGGGAGTGGGGCTGAGACCATACGTCCTCCTCTGATCTGGGGTTTGCCGTTTCAGAAGGCCACAGTGCCGCTGCTCTGCTCGCTATGCCCAACCTGAGCAGGAAGGGTGGGTCACATCACTGCCTAATCCTGTGCATTTCAGGCAGAAAATATTCACCTGAGGAACTGGTGACACAGGCTTTGAGGTCCTGGTTGTTGGCAACAGCTGTAAGTGCCTGCAGTGCAATTCCAGGACTTTGCAACTCAGCCAAAGCACCTCGCCCTTTCTACCCTGGGTAGTCCACACACACAGCTCTGCCAACGCACCGCTGTTCTGACGTGCAGCGCGCCCTTAAAGTCCGCGACTCAGCTGGACTCCCCCTGCAAAAACCAACCATGCTGAAGACCCAGCCCCAGCCCCGACCCATGCGGGCTGGCGTCACCTGTTCTCCTCGACATGGGCCCCTCAGCGTGGGTGCACAAGTGTTGTGGCCGTTGGAACATACTTGTGTGTGCCAGCTCACGGTTAGGGTCATGCCACCACGTATTTTCACCTGTGAAACAATCAGGATTTGAGCCAAGCCCTCCAGAGACACCATGCTAGGGTATCACCCCCCCAGGAGGCCTGCATGCCCTGAGCTAGCATCTCACCCTTGCATCCGATCCTGAGGCTCTGGGAGACGCAAGCAACAGCTTTTTGTCGACAAGTCCCCGTTTTCCATTTGAAAATTCAAAGGATGGAAAAACACCTCGGGGAGGGAGAGGGAGGGAGATGACAAGATTCTCGTTACACCTCCAGCGTGGGAGTGCTTTCCATTATGCTAAGCTTGCACCGCTGGGTGATGTACCTGCTTTGCATGTGGTACGCTTCCTTTTTAATTTCAAGCAGTTCCTCATTGCAATGAATTAGACCCGGGAACCAAAGAGGGGGTTGTGGTGAAAGCACAGCCTCCCCACCCTTGTGCCTCCTGGCTCTACCACAGACCACTGGACTCAAGGCAAGTCACTTCCCCTCTCTGCTCCTCCATTGCCCTCCACTGCCATCATAGCCCCTTGCATTATGAAGGACAGCCCCTGTCACCAAGGGCTTACAGGCAAAACAGGATAAAGAGTGGGAAAAAGGCCTCACCACTGAAGGGAACAGAGGCAGAGAGATCAAGTGACCTGCCCAAGCTGATACATGAAGTCTGGGGCAAACCAGGGATCCAAATGAGGTTGCAGTCACACTTCTAACAAAGTGGTCTTTCTTCTTCGCTGTCGTAGCTGTGGGATGGAGTAATGCCGCCCACCCCACCGATGGAGGGACATGCCTTCCTTGGTTACCATTTGAGTCCACCAAGATGCTTGGCTGCTACAGAAGAGGCAAAGCCTTCATATTTTAATCCAGGAGACTGGTCCTCTCCCCTGCAGAGCCCTGCGGTGGATGCAGGGTTGATGTACCAGCTGCAGCTGGTGAACACGTGCCTTTTTACAGCGCCTGGCACCCCAGCCAGCCCTCCCAAAATGCCACTCATCACAATGGGTGGCCTTTCAAAATCTGCTCTTTGGACTTGCCCGTGAAGAAAAGAAGACAGGGGGGAGAAGGGAAAGAAAATTCACACTGTCTTTGATCGAGTTCCCTCCTGGCTTGGCGACAGCGACGGCAGCCGCAGCGGTGGCAAAATAAAGTGAGTTTTGTAGATGAGCTGGCAACGGCAGCTTCCGGGAGCCCTGCCATCCCTAACGAGACAGGTTCTGCACTGCAAGTGGGTCGCTAAGCACAAGGATGGGGGCCAGCGGCCGTGGCGCCGTCAGCCCGCAGCACCTGCAGAAGCCTGTGCGCTCCAGAAAACGAATGGCAGTCTCTCTCTTATTTTTTAAATCCCTTTTTCCGCCCCACCTTTTCAAGGAATTGCAGAAGAGGCCAAATCAGGGCAGCCTTTGATATTACAGTTGGAAATGAAAGGCATTATCAGTCGGACAGAAGCATTATGAAGCCAGGCCAAGGCAGTCACGGGAACAGAGAGTGCCAGGGCGGTCAGAACGCCCGAGAATGCTGATCACCTCCCCCCGTATGCTGCCGCCAGCCTGCCAAAAGGCCCAAGACTGCTTTAAACGAGATGCCGCACTGAACCACAAGGCCCAGACTGGAGCAGGGATGCTGAGATCCAAAAGTGCCACTTGGAAAAGCAGCTGAAAGCACCTTCCCCTGAGCATCTGCTCCCAGCAATCTCAGCGTGACCTTCTGCAGGAGCCAGGTGGAGGAGAAAGCTCAGCCACCGCATGCGACACTTCCAGGTCAGTGCACCGAGATGTCACCAGGTGCATCAGGCCGGGGAAATAGGTCAGCGGGAGAAGGATGATGCTTCTGCCTCTGCGGAGGAATGCCCCTGCCCTAACACACACAGCACAGGGAAAAAGGGACTTCAGAGCCCAAAGTTTTGTGGCAGGTCAGCTTGGCTCTGCCCAGGCCCAAACTGAAGAAATACTGTCTCCACAAACAGCGGTGGTGGTTGGACCTGGTTGTGAGGATGGACAGGGTACCCCCATCACCACTCCCCTGTGGGCCCAAACTATTTCCACCCACAATTCCCAGCATAGGTGAACCGACTGCCCACAGCACCTTGCAAAGGCCTGGTGCTCTGGATCCTGGACAGTGCACCCAAAACCCGTGGGGCCAGATCCAGCCCAGGGGCATGACAACAGCAAGCCACACTGACACCGGGCCTGCAGTTGCTAAACTCTGCAACGGAGACTGAACCTGAGGCATGTTGCTCCCAGCTGTAAGCCGCTGGCTCTGGTGCAACAGTTTCAGAGAGGAATGCTAGAAAGGAGGGTGGAGGGCTTATCATGTGTCTTTGCAGACGCGGGAATGTCTCCAACAGCCTTTTAACAGCAACAGCTATGAAGAGGAGTCTTTGCACTTGACAGTGACCTCAGGGTCATGGGGGGTCTCTCAAGGTGCCCTTGTCTCAGCTGGAATCCTGTCCCCCTGCAACACACCCCAAGCTTGCTTTTACCTTAAGCCCGTCAGCTGTAATAGCCTGACAGCCCAGCCAAGCCCTCTGCCAGATGGGTGGGTCCATGCTTTTTGGAGGGAGCACAGAGCAGGGACCAGTGTGGAGCATCTGTTGTGTCTCTCCGGTGCCAAACGTCCCCACGTGCAGAGGGCATGGTGCTTCTGAGCAGACCTGAATCTTGGGCACGCCAGGGGCTGGTCCCACATGCCCTGTCATGTCGACTGGTTTGCTGTGGAAGAAGCCACGCTCCAGCTGGGTTGGATGGGAGGTGACCAAGGCTCAGATGGAGCAAGATAAAGAGTCTTTCCCATCCCCCTGCTATTTTAACCAGGCGAAATGTCCTTTTGCTCTCCTCACTCCACCACCTCCTACTGAAGCCTGGGCTACAGCTGACACTTCCACTGGTCAGATCATAATGCCTCAGTGGCATCCTGACCTGCCTTTCCTGCATCCCTTCCCTTGCTCCTGGCAGGACCAGCCTGCTTCGGGACCCCCACTGCTCCATCCCTGCTGCTCAGCCTGTCCCTGCAGCCAGCGAGTCAGGCTGGCAGGGACCCCGAGAAGCTGGGTCCCTGGTGTGGCGGGGGAAGGGGGGGACAGGAGTAGGGTGGCAGGGGGGCCTTGTCCATTTACCCTGAATCTGAGTGGTAGCACCAGCTTGCACCGTCCCACTGGGCTGGGAGCTGCACACAACAAAGGCTGCAAGCAATAGCGCGGACTCTTGCTGCCTGGCCCCTGCCTGCCGGGGAACAAAGGGAAGGAGAAGCGAGGGGTCATGGGAATTTCAGGCCTGGATCTGACTAAAGACAGCAGGTGCAGTACAAAAAGAAACTTGTTCTTACCCTCTCTTGCCTGGGGGGGCAGAGGACCTGTGAGTGGCGGGGGGGAATGGAGCTCCAGAACAGGGCAGAGAACTGATAGGGCTCAGTGCACTGATCCATCCTTCTAACCCAAAGGGAGTAAAGACTAAGGAGGAGCCGTGCTGCAGCATGTAGAGCGGGGCACTGTCGTCCACAGCCCCCGGTGCCTTCTACAGGCAGAAATGGAGCCTGCAAAAAAGCCCAGTCCACTGCTGTAACCTTCAGGCACTCCCCTCCTGTGCCACCCTTGAGAACTGGCCGGTCGTTTATTTTACCAGCTGTCTGTGGCAATTGCTCATTGTGACCAGCAGCAAGACCCCATGACTGCAGGTGACACGGTCACCCTAGAGCTGTCCCCAAACCTGTCGATGACCAGGCAGTTTATGGGCAAAGGTGCATAGGCATCACCTGCCTACCTATCCCCTACAAAAGTCATTGTTACGGCACGGGGCTGAGCCATGACAAGGGGGTTAATATTCATTGTCTGCAAAATCCAGCTCGAGGAGGATCTGCTGGGCTTAAGAGAGAACCAGATTCCTTTTATACGCCGCACTGAGCTCTTCGGCTGTGAGCTTCTGAGTCTCCGCTCTCGTTTAAGGAAGATATAAGGAGTCTTGCTGCTGATGGAGGAGCCTGGACTCCTACGTTCCCTCTCAGCACCGGGAAGAAGTGTGAGCGAAAAGCGAGAGAAAGGTGGTAGTAGTCTGTCCTCCAGGTCCCTGGCCCTAGCTCTGGGGGAACAGGGTGAAGTCAGAGAAGGATCAAATAAAAAAAACAGGAATCCCCGATTCTGTCCTCGGCTCTGGGAAGGAGGATGTTACACCAGAGGACAGAGAGTTAGGACTGGACTCTATGCCTACCTCTGCCTGTGATTCATCGTGTCACCTAGGGACAGTATCTGTGCCTCTCTGGACAACTAGGCCTCAGCTTGCCTATCTGTGAAATGGGCAATGCGACATTCAATTTGCTGCTCTGAGCAGTGGTCAGTGCCTGCACTGGGAACCTCAGCTGCTCCTTGCTTTCCCTGGCTGTGCACCATCACTGGGAAGTCCCACCTTGTTACTGCATGTTTTTCCTCAGGGAGCCACTCCCTCTTTGATAGCGTGGGGCCTTTTCCAGCCTCTGATACATCCCTGCTATCGCTGCTCCCTAGCTCCCCCTTCTCTGGGCACCCATGGCATGCATGGTGCCCAACCACAATGGCTAGCCAGCAATGTGCCAACAGGCAGCAGCGCAGCACTGGGGCCCTGGCCCCGTCTCCCCCTGCCTGGGAAGGGACGCTTGCAAGGGGAGCACTGTGCAGGGGCACTGCAGTGTTGCTGGCAGCAGGAATGACGAGTGCCATGCCTGTGGCCTGTACCAGCGAGCCTGGCCAGACTGCTTCGCCTCTGTCTGCCCACGTCTCCCCGCTCCACTCTCAGAGGTGAGCACCAAAGGCAGCGGTTTCGGGCAGCGCTGCTGGCAGGGCTGCCCCCTTCGCACCATTTAGATGTCCGATTGCACTCATTCAGCCCCTGAAAAAAAACGGCGCGGCTCCAGCCCGTGACAGCTTTGACAGCCAGACTCCTTAATTCCTTTTTCTTATTCCCTTAATCTGTCATCTTTATCAGGCTGGGGAAGTGCCAGGCGGCATGCAGGAGCTCCGGCCCCGATCAATCTCCACATTACAGCTGACAGAATGGTGCTAATAACTTA